ATGTAACTAATATTTTTTTAATTAATTAATCTAGAAAAATCTAAAAAAAAAATTTTAATAAAAAATCTGATCCTGTTGTATTGGATTAGATTTGTTTAGAAAAATTTCATTTGTAGTACTATCTATGTAAATTTATATGCTATTTACAATCACATAACAAAACATGTTATGTTTTAAGAATTGTGTACCATCCTTATCTGTCCATGATAAGCAAATATAAGTAACCAGCTGGTACCCGGCGCGTTGCTGCCGCAGAAGAAATAATTGTGGTAATATCGTTTTAAATTGGGAAGAGTTATATTATTAGGAATGACAATGCATTCATTGATGTTGAATGATATACTTATAACTTACAAATGTGTCGGTACTATACGCGTGCCACCTACTGTAAGTTAATTGTACTATGCCCATAACAACCCATACGTACCCAAGTATAAAATAATAATAAACACGCATTGTCCAGAAATTTGGGGATCTATGAAAACCTTAGTTAACACTTACCTTCGAAGTCATATGTTCTGTAGGCAAGAAGCCAACTACAGCCAATACAACCAACCAAGCCCCATGATTCTTTTATACGATACTAACGTCACACAATTGTTTTGCCTTCCCGGAACACTTACTTTATGGTATGGTATTAAAGTTCAAATTGACTTTTAAGTATTATTACGAATCTTTTGTATGGGAATATAGAAAATTATTGTTTTTACACTTTTTTAGGCAATTTTTTGAACTTTTCTCTCCGTAAGAACCATCTTCGTACTTCAAGGAATATTATAAAAAAAGAATTAGCGAAATCGGTTCAGCTGCTCTCGAGATTTGCGCTTAGCAACACATTCAGCGATTCATTTTTATATTATAGATAAATAAATAAAATACAATTAGTATTTTTTTTATAGGATAGGGTGACAAACGAGCACACAGTCCACCTGATGGTAAGCGGTTGCTGTGGCCCATAGACATCTATATCTATCCTCGTCTGCGAATCAAAATGCAGATGCGTTGTCATCCGTGAGGACTAAGATAGAATGCCTCTTTTCCAGTAAAAAGGGGTGGTCCTTCCCCGGTCGAGTCGACCCATTCGTGCTACAACTATACTACTAATATAGCTGCAGCATGGCTCTACCACGTTTATTACCAGTTACCAGTATTTCTGCCTGTCAAGTAACTGAACATTATCGTTTTTAATAACTTATTAACAAAATAAATACTTCACAATATATTGATTCATTCTATTGTAAATTTTTAGGGAGACTGATGATAGCTTTAGCGGACTGTAGATGACGAAGGTATTTCAAAATGATAAAACTGAGGATCAAGTCACCATCGGAATACTTGTTTCGCCGTGTCCAAATAACACCATGTGCAGACATTTAATATACAAAACCATCACGATCGAGTTCCGTAAGCCGACAAGCCAAAAGTTTTATATCCATATGTGATAGTTTTGTACGGTCTTTGTTAAGGTTTTATTAACACAGCATGTAACGTTGGTTTATACATGGTAGATTCATGCTGCAGCTATATTAGTAGTATAGTTCTAGCACGAATGGGTCGGCTCGACCGGGGAAGGATCACACTCTCACAGAATACCACCGTAAAATGGCAGCTTGACACTGCTGTGTTTCGTATGGTGAGTGTAGAGAACCGGAGACACGTTTTACTGGAAAAGGGGCATTCCATCTTAGTCCTTACGTGTGACGACGCATCTGCATTTTGATTATTTATTGAGGATGGATGGATATAGATGTCTATGGGTCACAGCAACCACTTACCATCAAGTGGACTGTGTGCTTGTTTGTCACCCAATCCTATAAAAAAAATGTACCTATACCAATATATTGAGTCCGAAAATAAATGATAAATAAAATTAAAAAAAATACTGTCAGTCGTAGGATTGCACGTCAGTAGTGAAAAGTTCCTAGCTTCACAAACTTTTTTTATATATCTATCTGAGCGTGACGGTCACGCGAGTTCAGTCGTTTCCCCATCGTGCGCAACGTGCCTAAAGATATTTTCACTTCAATAAAATATAATCTGTGAGTATAAACTTAATCTGTCAAGTTGTATATAAGTTAAACGATCACTAACAGACTCACCAAGTATTCTTTCACCTTTATCAATGACGGATTAACGAGATTCTACTGTAATATTATTTACCTCCATACCAAAAAAAAATTTGTACTAAATAGCTTATATGACATTTCATACATGCAATGATCTTATTATGGCAGCTAGTTTTATGTTTCGTTCGTCAAATTTTAATGGTGGTTAGTTTGAGACGAACGATTCCTAACATATTGCGCGAATACTAAACTGCGTAACTCTACCAACAGCATCCTAATCACACTTGCTGATAGGTGGGACTCAGCCATTATGAGGCATTGGTTAAGTCTACATGTAAAACTAAATAAGTAAGATATATGTAATGTACGCGGAATGGTTAATTTGTTAAGTTAAGAATATAAAGAAAAAGAAGTCATATACTAACACTAGTCTTATTTTTTTCATTTTTTTTATTATTATTATTATTATTATTATACTAACATCTCTATGGACTGAGTCTGAATAAAATATTATTATTATTATAAACACTGATTCAAACTGATTTCACGGAATCGATCGCGATTCTAGACATTTTGAGTACAATGGTATTCAAATAAGAATAGCAACGTCAATGACCTCGAACGAAAACAGTAGTGCTGATAATGATTACAATGATGACGGCTCAGACAGCGATGCAGAGATGGCCGAAATTGAAACGCTAGATTCAGATTAATACTCCCATTCCTGGTTCTTTTGTAAATAAATATAAATTTAAAACATCTGTTTTGCTCACCCTACCAGATTTGAATTGACAGCTATGACGTCACAAATATGGCGCCAAGTCAGAAAGAAAGAAACATTTATTGCAAAAGTCAGTCCTATTGTTATTTGAATCACATAGTACTTTACATGTACACGGGAGAGTAAGGGGCAGAATAGTTTAATGTTATGATGTCACAGTTTAACCCGGGCTAATTCCCGGGCTAATTGGAGAGAAGATACACAATATATGGGATTCATATATGAAATACATTTTATATCATTAAAACACTGCAGCCTGTAAGTATAGCACAGTTCACACCAGCATTATAAATCCTTTATAATGCTGGTGCTACGCTATTTAATTTGCTTAGGCCCAGTAAACGTCCATTAATTTCGTGAGGCGATTTTCGCGATTTGTCTACCCTCCTCTCCTCCTGGTGAGATGTCATGAGACATTTCTGGACCCCTTACCATCAACTCCCCAAAACCTTACTTTAGATTTTTTAAATGCGTATTTTTAGTGTAAATACGTCAGTCTCCAACACCTGACGTAATTAATGGACGCCGACGACGAATAAAGCCGTATATTTCTCTCTATTAGTATTTCTCACGACAGTAGTCTTGCGCGATCAGCCGCGGCGTCACAGTATTTCAGTTCGCATATTTCCGTGGGACTACTCTATTGACGCAGTGACTAGTTAATACCTGACACTAATTACATACTACTTGTTAAAACACGTTATCAGTTAAATACGACATCAATGACTTCTCGACTTGAATGCAACAGGTACCTAAGTTAAATCTCTATTTGATAAGGATTACTATTGCTGAAGCCATTGTTCTGTGCAAACGACAATAAAGTGTGTAAGGCGTGATTGCGGAAGAAAGCAAAGGAATCGACGCCATAGTTTAAATCGAATATAGATAGTTTAAATCGAATATAGAGAATAGCATATCTAAACGAAGAGTCACATAAAGTCGATTTGAGTAATTGTGATAGTTTTGATAGATTATATGAAGCATTAACGACTGTAGGAAGTCAACCTAGCGAACCCTGTAGTTAAGATTTCGATGCGGAAATGTCAATGAGGGCTAACAATCTCCTGCTCGCCAGATGTCGCTAGTTGCGACTGAGGTGAAGTTTAATGTTACACAATGTCATTTAACTGAGAATTTAGTTTTAAATAAAAGTTTATCACATTCTAGAGTATTATATTAATACACAAAACAATGTCCCAGTGGTTTGCTCTTTAATTTTTTGCACGTTTATAACTCAGTTTTTAATAGCTTGGTTTGTTTATTTCTAATGTGATTAATACAAAATATAAAACTAATATTATGAAAAGAAACATTAACCTTTACATTTTTCGAACACATTAACTTCCCCGCTATGATATCTGTCAAGTATTTCACCTCATTTCAAAGTGGCGCCGCCCTGGCGGCAGAAAAAGTTGCGGATGTCCTCCTCATTGGAACGTCTTTAAAAATTATATTAATGGCGTGATAAACGAGCGGTTCGAATGCGGCGTTTTTTATCCGATCGATTAATATGATAAATCTTTGGCAACCAGCGAAATGTTAGAATTATTTCACAACATTAAAATTATTGATATGTATGTGATGTGAAATGACTTTTGACTTTTTGATTTAAAATAATAACTAAACGAGTTTAAATCGCCTAAATTTGGTAATAGAATTAATAAATACATTGCATAATTTATATTTGCCACTTTTCGTAATGATTTAAAACTTGGTTGGTTTACTGTTCTAAATTATTTTTATTATTATTTAAATAATAAAAAATGGTAAAATCATCCCGACTCTTTAAAACTTTCTTTGTTTTTAATTTGATCCTGTATTGCAGAGACCTTTACAAACATGAATTACACGCAGACCCAGAACCCAATTCCAGAAATAATATTTTATATAGCGGGATTCGTACTCACTGCCCGAAACCAAACTCTCAAATGAATAACATTAGAAACACACCGACTACGTACTTCTTGAAAACTTATATTAGAAAAAAAAGTTCGCCGCGTTCGAACCACCCGTTTATCTATCCCAGTGAAAGTTACCTACTAAAATGTACCATGCAAGCGTTCACTTAAAACTAAACGTTATTTATGTTGTGTTAATGTCGGTTTTTCTATATTTCGTTTTTTTTTTGAATGCTGAAATGCGTTGTTTTTTTTTTAATAGTCATCGAGGTCCACGTCGTCCAGCGGTTCGTCGGATTGGAGAGATTGAAAGTCCACTTTGTAGCGGAGTATGCCTGTTTATTAATTTAGTAAAGTTTACGAATACGAATACCGTCATATCCGGCGGCGTTATCCGAGCAGCAGTGAAACAGAAGAGAAATGTTAGTTATGTGGATTAGTTATGGGTTCCGTCATAAGGGCGAAAGCGTACATAAAATATCATACGAATGCAGCCGAGAGGGAAAGTATCATAAGTCACAGTTAAACAGATTTTACAATTACATAGCAAATACCAAATAGGAGTATGCAAAAGAAGCCAAACTCTGAATGTGTCTTAGGACGCCGTGAATTCATCACGGTCTTTTCCCGTGGGTGTCGCGACAGGAGACTATGGAAAGTTATTTGTAGTCTCGTATTTTTTTTTTAATAAAACTGATGAGACAAACGAACTTACAGTTGAGCAGTTGGTAGGTGTACAGTATACAGTAGTATAGTCGTAGCACGAATGGGTCAGCTCGACTGGGGAAAGACTGCGCTCTCACAAATTACCAGCGTAAATTAGCGACTTTAATACTGCTGTGTCTCGTATGGTAAGTTTAGAGAACCGGAGATTCTTTTTACTGGAAACGAGGCATTCGTGCTTAGTCCTCAGGGGTGGTAACGCATCTTTAATTCGTAATCGAGGATAGGTGTAGATGTCTGTGGGACACAGCAACCACTTACCATCAGGTGGACTGTGTGCTCGTTTGTGACCCTTATCCTATTAAAAAAGTGGCTATTGCATCCCATGAACATCCGCAGCCAACTTGAAATAAAGAAGGCCGCAGATACATTGTTACCTTTGAGAACTAAAATGGAAAACCTACAGCCTGTTACTATACTGGCTCTCCTTACCTTCTCCTACTCTCCTCAGAATCCAAGACAGACAACAAGTGCTACCACCTCTAGCAACACGTATTGCACATGTAAATACTCAAACAGGCAGAGGTGCGAGACATTCTAATATTTCAAACACCAATGTGAATATTATTATAGCAAATCTTTCCTTATAAAGGACAAGTCCACATCCAGCGGTTGACTACGGTCTGATAAATAAAGTTTAAATGTAACACTTGCAATGGTCGATTTCATAATTCAGCAAAGAGCTATTTCGTTGGTTTTTCGTAAGTCTCGTTAGATGGGACAGAGGTCAATTGAAACAGGATATGGACAGCAGCATCTTCCTGATATCATCTCAAAATAATGAAAAATAAACTGCAGTTGCCAACGCACTTGCCAAGCGTTGCATCTACAGATAATATAGCTCCTATGAGACCTAGAGGGGGGCCTGTGATCAACCGTGGACTATGATAGGCTGTAATGGAATTACCGTGAAGTGGAGGTGTATGAATATCAACTGCCTCATATGGTCCTGTGGGTTTCGTAACAGGCGACAGAGGGGAACAAATCAGGAGACGGGCAGCAGCGTCTTTTAAAAATTAAACAACTACAGTTGCCAACTCGCTTGCCAAGAGTAGACACTATGGCAATCTATGGGGGAGGCCTATGTTCAGCCTACGATAGGCTGTAATGGAATAGAGTTTCATTTGAAACCCCCGTGAGTCAACCTTTATGGGTCATCAGTTTCAGAAATGATGTGTGGACTGAAGAAAATTGAATGTTATTCTTAAGGATCTCTCCCGTTGTGGAGAGAGTTTGCCTTTACCGTCATGCTCAGTAAGTTGCCTGGGTATGTAATGTCAGGCGAAATCAAGATATACAAACCATATATCAGAAGTCATGAGATTTTATCTTGCTTTTCTCATACTCCATTCCATGTTATGACACTCCCGGGATCAAATGGATATTATTATTGTTTGTTAATCTCTCTATTTTAATTTTTGATGATAACTATTGATTGAGATTTATGATCCTGTACCTCTCAGCTACAAATATTTATATTTAACATAAATATCCAAATTACGTACATTATATAATACACAGTACTATTCCCAACACTTCTACCAAAATGGCACAAAACCCTTTGTTTACAATACATTGACGCTAAACAAAAAGTAGCCAATAGTATAATATTTAAACTTGTGTAGTATAACAATTGCTTGCTCGAGTGTTACACGGCTTGAACAAATTTATCACTATCGTGTCACAGAAATCAGATAGCTATATTAGCGATGGACAGATGGACATTCGGTTCATATTATAGAGTAGATAGATGTGTAAAGTTCAATTTCTGTTACTAGCACGACTGATACAGTTAGTCACTTTAGTTCCTGTATTATATTTAAATCTATTCTTATTATCTATTGTATCTATCAGAGAATCATTGGTTAAACGATGGAGCCACTTTTCTTTTAAAATTAGAAGTCTTAACATATTCTTAAAAAAATTCGTATAATAATATCAGACACAGACACTCTGGTAGCTTAAAGGTTTTTTTTTAATTTATTTTAATCATATTCATATTCAAAAGTAGCATTGAGATTGTAAGCTAAGCAACACTAAACTTTGTTTGGTATGGACTGCAACTTAACCGCTATAAAATTCCATTTATAAAACTGTTTATCTTCACTTATTCTACAATAAAACTGCCCTCTTTTAAAGAGCAACTTGATCATGTAGTTAAATCAGAATTACACAAAAAAAAAAACAATAACACAATGGCTTTAAGAATTAATTTCCTCTGAAATGTAGTTTCTCAAACTTTGTGGTCACTAAACCAAGAGCTTCACTTTAAGTCCTCGATGTCTTAGTCATTCGGCGCTGAGCTATCATACCGTGTGTGTAACAATACAAGTAATACAAATGCACACTGACCTCCAATACCTCCAAATCCTCTCACAAACTGACTGCCCTCCTGACTCTTGTCTGTGATGATTTCAAGTGTGGCTCCGAAGGACTTGTAGTTGTTGGCGAGCCACTCAAGCAACGGCTGACACTCCACCAACTCAAGCTCAACACCGCTCTATAAAAACAAACCAACATTTGTAAGAAATCTATATCTATACTCTATACAAATAAATAAAATTGAAGTGTCTGTTTGTAATGTTAAAATAACAGCTCTTTACTAAACGCATATGTGAAAGTATCCATCGTACTAATAACAAAAAAAAAAAACAATTTATAAAATTTTGTCTGTCTGTTTGTTCCGACTAATCTCCGAAACGTCTGTAACGAATTTGACGGGGACTTTCACTTTCAGATCGCTGATGTTATAAGGAGTAAATTAGGATTGTTTTATTTTAGAAAAATAATTAGGGCTCTGCGTAAAAAAACATTAAAACCCATGAAATCTGGAGAGATACAACTTTTAAAAGAAACAAGTGCCTTCTTTTTATAAAAATTAAGTGACAAACCTACCTACAGTCCACCTGATGGCAAGTGGAATCTTAATCTTATGCAAACAAACTTGGAACGAAGAAGTCTTCAGATCTAGAGTCAACTCTGAGGACTGAGATACAATGCCTGACAGCCAGTAACTATATTATACGGACTCTACACTCGTCAGACTGGAACACAACAGTGTATACCGATATCTGGCGACAGAAATAAGTGTGTGATACCAACCGTGACAGACTTGTAGGCAGAAAAGTGGTCTCACCACATAGACATCAAATCAGTTCAACATTAATTTTCTAACTGTGGTACTGTTTAAAAAAAATGTCTAGAACCTAGACTGATCTAATGAACTAGGTTTTAGCCAAACTTAAACTTAGGCTTGTACAAAAATATCGATATATCGATATTTTCTCATAAAAATGTCGATATAAATCGTCGATATTTTTAATCACGATATATCGATATTTATTTTAGAGTATCGTACTCGTATCCATTTCGATATATTCTAAAACTAGCTGTTCGCCGCGAATTCGCCTGCGTGTTATTTGGGGTTTTAATTTTTTTTGTGCGGAACCCTAATTCATTTTCTTAAATAGTGATATCAGCTATCTGCCAGTGAAAATCCTGTCAAAATCGATCCAGCCGTTTCGGAGATTAGCCGGAACAAACAGACAGACAGACAGAGACAAAAACTTTAAAAATGGTATTTTTGTTATTATTGTTGTTAGTACCGCGTATATACTTTCATATGCATTTAGTAAAAAGCTGTAATTTTAACATTACAAACAGACACTTCAATTTTATTTATTTGTATAGTTATTGTATAAAGCATTCATGTGTGTGGTTTTAGTTTTTTGTCGTCGTCCAACTGTCAGTTATATTAAATTTTGGGCTTTATCCTTACATCACGCAAATTTATTACGCGATATCATATCAATATAATTTTTCCCTTGCCCATCCCTACTCAAGCTTTTATGAGTCTGCCAGTGCAGCTAACAAACAGTAGGGCAGTAGGTATGAGTCGACCACAGACGAACAAACTACACTTGTACTTATAATTGTCTGTGTTATAGTAATGTGATTAAGGGTACGTTCCAATATACACTGTGACCACTTTAAGATGTGACGTCAATTCAGTATACTGTGAATCCGTTCCCTTTTTGGATCGTGTTCCGATATACACTGCGAACACTGTTTATTGTTCTCACTGGTGAAAAATTCGCTCCGTTATGGATTGCCAGTATACTGCCGCAGTACCCTAGGGAAATATATTACGTCATAATTCGAGGTAAGGTGCTTTCAGTACTTTGAACACATGATCAAAAAACATAACAGCGCCTATAGATTTAACAGCCTACACGAAGGATTTTTATTATTAATTGATTAATATTGTTATTCGAATAAACTCGGACATTAAGTTTTAAAGGCAACAATATTCAAATAATATTTTTTCTTGTTGAATAGATAACGTGTACATGATAAATATTTTCATTTGAGAATAGTGTAATAGTTTGAGAATAGTGTAGAGTCCGAGTTTATTCGAATAATATTGTTATTCGAATAAACTCGGACATTAAGTTTTAAAGGCAACAATATTCAAATAATATTTTTTCTTGTTGAATAGATAACGTGAACATGTTAAATATTTTCATTTGAGAATAGTGTAGAAAAATAGGGATGACAGTATACTGGACTGCGTTCCGTTTTAAACAATAACCAGTATAGCAAACTAAAAAGAAACGGCCTCACAGTATACTGAATTGACGTCACACCTTAAAGTGGTCAGGTCACAAGCGTATTTCGGAACATACCCTTAATCATTTTAATGTGTCAAAAGATTCTAACGAAAGCATTTGTAGTCGCGTCGCGCACTACTAAGCTGGGTTTAGCCTCGGTCACACAGCGAATATTCGCTTCCTGCCGCAGTTGTCACACACAGCGAATTCTACACGAGAATTTCGACAGTCTATTGGTGCCCCAAATACAAATATGTCATCTATTCGTCGCTCACGTCTAAAACAGTGTATTCGGTTGGCATGTGCATCCTCGATTCTATACACACCCAAGAAGCCAATTATAGCGTAGTTTCCTCACTTTAGTAAATCTTAATAAAAATTATTCGCTTGACTCGTATATCGTACATACACGTATCTATACACTATGAAGTGCCGAAAGGACCTGTAGTCTAAGAGAAGCGCGCTGAGCGGAATGGCTACTCACTTCGAGTACCAGTCACAAACAGCGAATTCTCACGGCGAGTGCACGTTCGCATATTAAAATTAAACATGTTCAATTCAATTCGCGGCGAATGAATCTATTCGCAGCTACAAGATCCTTAAAAGCAACAAATAAAAACGTGACTAATCATGGAAGCTCCGAGCCTTACGTCTTTATCGGTGAAGTGGGACTTGTCCTTCTCTTGTTCAGGTGTCAAGTGCAAAATGGTCTCCTGGTTGGCGGCATGCGACTTCAGAACGTATCTGAAATATCATATACATCGTTTATAAAATATTTGCATACCTTGGAGTGAAAACAGAAAGCTAGCTTTGCAGTTATGAGAAAAGTGATTCATTCAATTTCAGATGGTTTAACTCTCTACAACATTAATAAAGAACAAAAAAATTGAAAAAAGGCGTGATTCGCCATTGATGTTGTCGAAAAAGCCAACATGAACAATAAATTGCTAGGGTTACCAGAACGGGAAATAATAAAAAAATTCAAAACTAATTTTATTTTATTTCACGTTTAAATACATTCCTGTGCACGTGGAAAGTGATGAAACTTTAACTCCTTATTTCTTTTATAGGATAAGGGTGACCAGCGAGCACACAGTCCACCTGATGGTAAGTGGTTGCTGTGACCCATAGACATCTACATCTATCCTCGATTACGAATCTAAATGCAGATGCGTTGTCTCTCGTGATTACTAAGATTGAATGTAGAAGTAAAAAGGGTCTCCGGTTCTCTACACTCACCATAAGAAACACAGAATTGAGTAGCTATTTTACGGTTGAGCCGACCCATTCGTGCTACAACTATACAATTAACTATCAATATAGCTGCTACACGGCTCTACCACGTAAACTATCTTTCTTACTTCACATCTATCTGCATTTTGATTCGCAAGCGAGGATAGATGTAGATGTCTATGGGCTACTGCAACCATTTACGGTCAGGTGGACTGTGTGCTCGCTTGTCATCCTTATTCTAAGAATATACACTACACCGTATCGTCCCGTGGACGTCCTAAGAGGCGACAGAGTGAAACAAATCAGGAAATGGGCAGCAGCACCTTCCTAATACCAACTAAAATTAAAAAAATGCGGTTGTGAACCCGCTTGGTTCGTGAAAGAATGGTGGTAGCACAGGGACTAAGTATTCATCCTAAATTCACCATTACACTGTTATTTTTCCATTATTATACATATATTTAAAATATTTCTTTATTTCATTGGTCTTGGGACAAAATGGCTTCTCCAAGGCTTTGGTTGTTACCCAAAATAAGTGTTACGTTTTCTAGTTTTAGGATTTAGACATCTACATCTATCCTCGTTTGCGAATAAAATGCAGATGCATTGTCAGCCGTGAGGACTAAGATGGAATGCCTTATTTCCAGTTACATAAAAAGAGTCTCCGGTTCTCTTTACTCACCATACAAAATACAGCAGTGTTAAGCTGCTATTTTACACTGGTATTCTGTGAGAGCGTGGTCCTTCCCCGGTCAAGTCGACTTATTTGTGCTACAACTATACTATTAATATAGCTGTACCATGGATCTACCACGTATACAAAGAGACTTTTCACAAATAGACTGCCACTTCACAGTATTTAATCTTTATTTATATAATTGTAGGTGCATCTTTTAGTGATCATGTAAATTCTGAACGACTTGACCTCCATCAGTCATATTCATACAATATTTTTGTTTTGTGGAGATGATGGTTGATAACTATGCTAGGATCCGAAAGGTGACACTGTAATAAAGTTATTAAAAAATTCTATATTTATAGAGTAGAATAACTCATATACACAGTATATTGCGGGTGACACTATGGTTGAATTATTAATATGTAAACGCCCAAAATGAATTCGAAATAAAATTCAAAGCGCCACCTATCGAAAAGAACAGAACAACGTCTACCAGGCCAGCTATTATCCAGATTGTGGTAATATTGCACACATAACATTCCTCACCTCTGTATGTCAAGGTTCTCCCAGCAGATGAGCGTCTCCACAGAGCCAAGTTCAAGGGCGCGCAGTGTATCGTCCACTCCAAAGCAGTACTTGCCCGTGTCCTGGATACATAATGTATGCAATTAAAATCATAATGATCACATTAAGCTTTGATGAAAGCGACCTTGTGATCTATCTGCAGTGCTGGGATATGGTTCTATTTGATAGAATAAATTTTCCACAATCGCCATGATAAACAGATTAAATTGCGATTTCAGTATGCAGAAAAAACATAAAGGGCAACATAATTAATGAGTTCCAACTAAGCAACATTAAAATTTTAAGTCCGGTCATCAGGAAGTTAGTTTAAAATCAAAACAAAGATACAGACAAGAATATAAGTAAGTTTTTCATTATCATCCAGTTCCGAGCGTTGTTTAAATTTTCAGTCTATAGCTTATTGGGATATTAGTTTGAATTGAAACAAATAACCAGATAAGTTTATTTTGCATTTTTATCCAGTTCTGAGATAAGTTTCAAGTCTCTAGCCTGTGGATAGTTAGTTTAAAATTTTTAAAAAAAATGGACAAGAAAGTAAGCAAATTTTGCTTTGTCATCCAGTACCCGGCTATGTCTAAACTTTCACTTCTGTATCTGACCAGAGAGTTTAAAATCGATTGCAAAATTTGTTATAAACAGACAAACAGAGATAAAAACAAATTAATAAAAATTGTTGTAAAAGAGGACTCACCTGTGAGATCTCTTCAAAGTAGCGCCCAATCAGTTTCTTCTCCTGAATAAACTTGACGTTCTGCAACAATTCCGCCGCGAGCTCGATGGCCTGGTTAAAACCATTCTCTCCTCCGTATGACACATCCACCAGCTTGATGATTTTGGATTGGAGACGCTGAAATATGAGGTATTGAATATAGATTAAGAGAATAAACTTTTTTTATACAAGTAGATAACTAGCCATGTGCGAGTCTGGCACGCGCATAAAGGGTTCTGTAGCCGTACCATCGTAACACAAGTTTCTAGTAGGGGAGCCCCCTTTAATCTTTAATTTATTATAATTTTTATTACTCGTTGTTATATCGGCAACAGAAATACACATTTTGTGAAAATTTCAACTGTCTATCGATTACGGATCATGAGATACAGCCGAACGGACGGACGAACAGAGAGCAGAGCCTAAATAATATGGTCCCGTTGGTTACCCTTTGGGTACGGAACCCTAAAAACAAACTGAAAACCCTGATGGCAAGTGGCTACTGAAGTCTATGGACCCTTGCGGCCAACTTCAAACAAAGTAGGCCACAGATGCGTTGTCACATCTAAAGTCTAATGCTGAGATCTATTGACCGTACTTTGACTTTGCTCAGACTTTACTTTCAAGCTAAGACAATGTCAGTATTTATAGAGCTAACTTCGAAGTCATGCTGAGTGCGCGCTTAGCAAAGCCTAAGTCAACGATATCGACAACTTACCTAAAACTCAGTATATTATTCAAAACCACCATTTTTAAATTGTTGTTTTTATGTTACTCTAATTAATTATAATAATAAATAGGTAGTATTAGGCCGTCTTCTAGTTTTAACCGGTTCAGTGTGGGTGACACGCCAGGCGTGCCATCGATTTCTTTTGTGTTTGGCGTATGACATGCGAGTCGAGTCTTTTTAAAAATTGTTATAACTCGCTCAAATTGCTTTTTTGGAAAATTTATCCAGACCAAAATATTCATTATTTTGCGAGTAGTTCATGCATGCAGCTTCGTTTCTGAATATTTTGAAAATTTGAAATTTTTAGGGGTCGACAACCTTTTTTTAACGTGTACATGGTACTATTTTTACTTTGTGGGTTATGTTTGTAATCATATTATGGAAAAATTGTCGAATAAGTAAAAAATAATAGCACTTATTGCGATCGCTCACAAAATCAAATTGTAAATAAATTTCTGGAAAACAAGTCTCCTGTCAAAAAAAAACAATGCGTTTGTCTTATTGTTTAATTTTGCTTAAAATGGTTGAACTGCCGTCTTATTACCGGACTTATGCCGAATAGACCTACGAAGTACCATGTGCTCTTGTGATATTAAGGTTTATTTTTGCTTGAAACAGTTTGAAACCGGTCATGCATAAAAAAGTTCGCTAATAAATAGTCTTTTGTCAAGCCGCCGCCGTATAGTGCCGGCGTTTTTTTCCTTTTGAAAACATTCGTTTTGCTGTTCTTACTAATTAGACATTTTCAGATCGACTTTACTTTTACATTTGTATAACATTAAATAATATTTAACATTTGTAAATATCAATGAATGACACTTTTTTTTTTTAAATTAAGGTTCTTCATTGTTTGATGTTTACAAATGTTATTATTAGGTGAAAATTTAATTTAATAAAAACCAAGGTTTCCAGGGTGATTTAGCTGTACCTACTTATATAAATGATTTTTTTTTAACAACAAAAAATAGTACAAAAGGTTTGTAATCTCTTAATAAAAAAGTCACTTTCTCTCAATTTCAAAGAACACGCGTAAAAAAACAAGTAGTTACCCACTAGAAACAAGTATCCTTCCATTTGTAACTTATGTTTGATGTCAAATAAACTTAATTAGGTCTAAACAAGTAAATAAAGCATAAAAAAGAACATTACTTTTACACATGGCTTGTCTGTTACGCCAGGCGTGTTATGAAATATTTGTTTGCCGCCACAGCTAAAAGTTGTCGAAAATTGGTGCCGCAACGAATCGGTTAAATAGCTTTAGGCCATTTTCTATTTACGTAATTTAAATCTTATTTTTTCTTTTTTTCTGATTTTGCACTCATCTCATCTGTTCCCGTTCTCATACGACCGTTTTGTATTTCATGTAATAATAAATAATTTATGAAATACAATTTGGACTATTTTTCGATTTAAATATATATATTTCTTTTTAATTTTATACAGTAATTTTGATTTTGAATATACATAATGCGTGGAATGAAGCATCCATTAATTAATATTTGGACTGTCTGGGCCTTAGCATAAGCTTAGCTTAATCTTAGCCCGATACAGCTATAAATTCAGAATCTAAGATTATGCTAAGCATATACTAAGCAAAGTTTTTCGTAAGCTAAGTGTGAGCTAAGTCAAAGTACGATCTATAGTTCTCTGTCTAAGATGGAATGCCTGACAGCCTATAATTTTACTGGCCTCTATACCCGTCAGACCAGAACACGGCACTGTTATAAGGCCTGTACCGGAGTAAATGAGAGTGCACAATATTCATACAAGTATTACGAAACATACACAGACGTGTGATATTCGATAGTCTACTATTGTAGGTGAACCACGAGGCATGAGTCCACCCTTTGTACAAGTCGCGGCACGAAAGTCTAGCGCTGAACTAAACGTGGAGGGGATAGCTGGAGAGCCAATTAGCGCGTGCGAACGACGCACGCCCACCCCACGACCCGCTTACTACCCCATGATACCTTATGCGCAATAACGGTCACCGCTAGACTTTCGTGCCGCTACTGATAATCCCTTTAATTAAAGTGTACAATTAAGAATAAATAAATAAGAACCTATTAAGAATTGCTGAGGTCTGTTGCATTACCTAAGGGGATTAATACAATGGTGACTAAGTTGATAAAGTAGGTAGAACAAATAACACCCACACCTCTTCTTATTAACTTGCATTCGGGGATTCTGCCGTTTGATTGGTTCAGCAATTTTCAGATCTATTTTAATTAACTTGTGTAGAGCTTCATTCGCCTCGTTTTGGTAGGCGAAGTATAGGGTGACCCCCCACTACATGGAGTGACCACCTGGTAAGACATGCAGGAAGTTAATGAATTAATGTGGCTCAGGACAGTGCTTTGCGGCATTCCTTGGGGGAGGCCTATGTTCAACAGTGGATTTGTGAAGGGCTGAAATGATGATGATGATCATGAGTTTCCTTAATAATTTTAACGTCTTCTGTAAGTAGACGTCTTTCTAAGTAGTGTTAATTAATTTACGTGTCATAGTTAAAACAAAGCCTAATGAAAGATAAAGAATAATTCTTTATGTGAGTGTGGTCTTGATGAAGGTTCCACCAACCACATATTCTTCGTATGTCCACAACTTCAGTTCTCCCTGTGTGATATTTTCCCCCAAAACGTCCCTCATCTTACTAATTCAATTAGTTTGCTGTCCCTTGTGTTTTCCTCATTTGTTCATATTTCATGTGATTTCATCTATACTAATAATAAATCATTGTTGGTGGCAGGATATTAAATGTTTGTTTTGTCTTTTGTTGTAGATTAGAAAGCTCTTACAAAACAATTATTTAAGTATACATGACAAGTTTTCATTTACTTTATTGTCACTCTGACTTGACATTGGCAGAAGTATAATAAGAAAAGCCATAAAGTAAAGATAAACTTGCATTAGACTTACTGGGTCAAACATATCGGACTGGGACAGTTCAGTCTTGAAGTCAGCGGAACCCGCCAAAATCAGTCCTGCTACGTTGGGACGGTCTGCACTGATGAACAATTGTGTAGCAACCTCTGCAACTTTGCGCACATAGTTGTGACGCTTTTCCATTCGGAGACGGGCGAAACGCAACGCAGACTGACCACCACGACCGTGCTTCTTCGGCAGATCTACAGTGAACTTGTGGAGCACCTGTAAGTTGATATTTCTTTTTATAATAACTTTACTTAATAATAATGTGCTTCAAAACTAATTTCGGTCACTACGGCCCACCTCAATAGCCATCTGTGCAGGATGGAATAACAAGTGCATCTCTATTCCCTCACTCTAATTGTCCGATGAGACAGCAATGCAAATTGTCTTTTTTTTATAGGATAGTGTGCCAAACGAGCACACAGTCCACCTGATGGTATGTGGTTGCTGTGGTTCATAGACATCTACATCTATCCTCGTTTGCGAATCAAAATTCAGATGTGTTGTCACCCGTGAGGATTAAGATGGAATGCCTCTTTTCCAGTAAAAAGGGTCTCCGGTTCTCTACATTCACCATATGAAACACAGTAGTGTTAAGCTGCTGTTTTACGCTGGTATTCAAAGTCTGTAGTCTGTCTGGAGAGAAATCAGACCAAAAGGCTTTTTGCTTTCCAAAGCACAGGGGTGAAACACCACCAATTACCTGACTATGGCCTACTTCTTGGGCTGGCTTGGACACAAAAATATAATTACTGATTTGGACCAGATCAAGCATTCAAACCCAGGAACACGTGATCAGCAGTGAAGCTGATGACCACTTGACCAACAAGGCAGTCAATGGTTGATAGTTAATAACAATGAAAATACATAATATAAGAAGAAAATCAGTAATTAGTGTAAAACAAAAATTATTAGTATTCATACATCCATCCGGATCCCCATCTGCCAAGCGAAGCAACTATGTCAAATATTACCCATATGAGGGAGACCTATGTTCAGCAGTGGAATTTTGAGAGGCTTTAATGATGATTATTATACTAATAATTCGACCAATAGCTGGGCACACGCCTTCTCTGACCTCTCGAAGTTTTTTGAGCACGTAAGGGTCTATTGCACTGTAACAATGTGTGTTGGAAAACATGACATATCTTCAAAATATTGTTGCTTCTCTGACATACAGGTTTCCCCTCTCAATACTAATGATAATCAAACAATTAAATTACAATTTTCAGTGGACATGCTGGGATAGAACACTTTTGTGCTATGAAATGACCATATAGTAATGGTGTAATAGTATGCATCACAACATTTTCCCCCATGGGTGAAAAATCAGCGTCAACTGTCAAATAAATGATACTAGCCAAGCATCAAGTCGTAAAAAAGTTTAAAAATGCAAAGTACATCAGGGAAAACAAATAAAGAGTGCATATATTGTTTTCATTAAATTAGTAAGGTGCTCGTTTGATCCTCGAAATTATTAAGTAGGAATCCATTATAAAATTTGCTGTTGTGTTAGGTGTTTAAAAAACAATTGATGTATGGAAAACATCAATGTATTTTTTGCAATGCATTAGACGGAAACATCAATCTTTTTTCAACATTCCATCACCATCTTGTTGCGCCACTCGTTAAATACGCAGATCGGCTAGGGGGTACAACATTAACAATGTGATATCAGATTGTCATCATCAATATGTATGCCAATCATTAATGCAAAATGGCAAACCTTTGTAGTGGCAGTTGAATTTATCAGGCTGGCGAAGAAGTAAAAACATACCTAATATGGTAGACAATTTTATATGTCTTACCTTAGGACCATCTTACCTCTCTAGTGTTTCCTTGCAGTGTACCAAACAGCGCTCCATTACCATCCATCACAATGAAGCCAAACTTATTGTCGTCAGCCATCAACGCAGTGAGGGCCTCAGTATGGAACTTGTTGTCACATAAGTACAGGGATGTATTGATGGGCTTGAATGGCTCAAAATCAATGTTCACTTTCTTCTCCTTTCCCTCCTCAGTAACAATTGTACCACAGTAGATGACTAGACCATTTGGTGGCACTGCAATAAAAAAACCATGATTATATTGCTATGGCAAGCTAAAACATGGCTTGCAATCAGTGGCACAGCGTAAGTAGCTGTCACCTATAGCCACAAATTCCACCCCAACCTTCACCCTTATATTTTTGTTTTTTTTTTTTACATAAACAATTTATTCATTGTCATGGCTTTTCCAAGAATTTGACCACCTCCAGTCTATGAAAGAGTGCAGCAATATTTGAACTTCTCACCATCAGTCAGTCTTCAGAGTCTAGTCCATCAATCAGACAGGTCAAGGAAAAGTTGGTGATTAGGGAGAATCGTAGAATATTCTGATTAAATATTAAGCACTCGTGCCACCACACTACTTAACCTTATCCATGAGGAAGTTGACATATTTGTATGTTCTGTGAGTGAATTCACAAGGGCTGCATTATTTATAATATGTTACAATAATAAAAATGTTTACTGTTTTCACTAGCGCATTAGGTCATGTAATGTTAGTGGTAAGTTTGGCTGAATAAATAAATAAATAAAAGATATTCAGTATATTTAAATCAAGATCTATGGCAATGCTTTTTACTTCTAATTGCTTTACAAATTATATAAAAGACAATGACAGTCTCCAAATTTATAACCATCAACTTTGACCTCATTTCTTTGCTAACATATGATCACTATAAATGATACTGAATATCTTTACTATATTATATAATGTATGTATTATATTATGTATAGTGTAACTCCTAGATCACTTCAATGAATGAGCATAATATATTTTTGGTTTGGTCAAGATGATTCATATTTATGTTAGGATCCAATAAATAGTGCTGTAGTCATGTTTTTAACAAATTCTATATTAATGGAACAAAATGACTAATTTTCACTTTGTTAACAATGTAGGATTAGTGCCAAAAAAATGCTAAACAGGACCTGCTGTACTACTGTGGTAGAGTTATTCATAAGTTTTGTATTTAGTTATTCAAAAATTCGGAGTAAAAATCATCGAGCAACCTACCGGGAAGGCAGAACAGTGTCTGCCAAGCTAGCTAGTATGTATATGAAAATGTCACTGTGTTAGTCAGTAAGGTTTCAGTTACCTTTTGTATAAAGTTTGAGTCGATGCTGCACAGAGGTGATAGCTCCAAGCACAGAAAGCCTGTTAACACGTGACTTAATGTTAGAGGCTGTTCCAAATTCATCCGCCAACATTTTAGAGACTCGCGAGATCTGATCCTTTGGTGGGATGATCAGTGAAATCATTGATGTTCCATTGCTGAAAGCAGAGAAAAGATACAAACATTATAATTTACACACACACACACACACACACACGCGCGCGCGCACGCGCACGCGCACGCGCGCACACACACACACACACGCACACGCACATGCACACGCACACGCACATGCACACGCACACGCACACGCGCACGCACACGCACACGTACACGTACACGCACACGCACACGCACACGCACACGCACACGCACACACACACACACACACACACACATACATACACACACACACACACACACACACACAGTATTTTATTTAAAACTTCAAGAAATAATTTGCAAGGAGTTGTCGTTAACACGTCTGACTGACCAGACATCCAGCGGGAGAGGGTTTAGAAACGTTACGACGTTCAAATAACGTTCTTTCTGCGGTGCTACCACAAAAAAAGACAAAAAGAAGATACTGGGTGAAGAAGCTGCTCTTTATACACTTATCATCAGTGTCCGAATTTCATATTTTTTATTAGTATCCATTGTGACATGTGCTGCGCGCGAAAGTCGCTAACGAACTGATTGAAATTGCCTTAATTGCGCTACACACGTGGAAGCGGTAGCTGTGATCTAGAGAGCAAGGAAGGTCTTGCGCTCATGTCGCTCTGCCGCAGGGCCGTCTTAGAAAATTGCCCCTGCTTTCATACACACATCGCAATTAAGGAGGCTATTAAGGGTCATTCCCACTCCTACACCCTAGATTGCCCCTGCAGCAGGCAAGTGAGCAGCCGCCTTTAGACCATTTAACCCAGTGGACTCCTCTGGCGTAATTATTCCCCTCTGCCAAGGTATTGGATTTAAAAGCTTGTGCGTTTATAAAAACTGTTTACGAAATTGATTTTATCATTACAAGAATCGTTTCCGCCGAAATAGGTGCTCTTTAAAAAATGCCGATCGGTGCGGTTAACGTGTTTTTTTTATAGGATAAGGGTGACAAACGAGCACACAGTCCACCTGATGGTAAGTGGTTGCTGTGGTCCAAAGACACCTACATTTATCCTCGATGAGGAATCAAAATGCAGATGCATTGTCACCCGTGAGGACTAAGATGGAATGCCTCGTTTCCAGTAAAAAGGGTCTCCGGTTCTCTACACTCACCATACGAAACACAGCAGAATTAAGCTGCTATTTTACGCTGGTATTCTGTGGGAGCGTGGTCCTTCCCCGGTCGAGCCGACCCCTTCATGTTACAACTATACCAGAAATATAGCTGCAGCATGGCTCTACCACGTGTGCATAAAGCAGTCAAAATACTTAAAATTTACAAAAAGATGGAGTTATATTCCATATGTAAGTATTTTTATTATGATGCATGCTTTTTTTATTGAAACCATTTAAAATAATATCATAAACATTGACCTACTACTAAATGGACCTCGGCTCTGCGCTCAAGTGTCCGAGTCAAAAGAGTTCCAAAATGCAAAAAGAGTTCCAATTGCGTTCCAAAATACCGAACTGTATCACAAAACGAACAAAACTATTTATATTTATAATCTATACAAATAAATAAAATTGAAGTCTCTGTTTGTAATGTAAAAATTACAGTTTTTTACTAAATGCCTATGAAAGTAAATACGGTAAGTCATCATCATCATTACAGCCCTTCACAAGTCCACTGCTGAACATAGGCCTCCCCCAAAGAATGCCACAAAGCACGGTCCTGAGCCACCTACATCCATCGACTTCCTGCATGTCTTACCAGGTCGTCACTCCATCTCGTGGGGGGACGCCCTACACTTCGTCTACCGGTACGAGGCTACCACTCGAGAACCTTTCTTCCCCATCGGTTGTCGGTTCTTCGAGCTATATGGCTGGCCCATTGCCACTTCAGCTTACTAATCCGTTGGGCTATGTCGGTTACTCTGGTTCTACTGCGGATATCCTCATTCCTAAGTTTATCACGCAGAGAAACTCCGAGCATAGCCCTCTCCATAGCTCGCTGAGCGACCTTGAGCTTCCTCATCCGGCCAGCAGTGAAGGACCACGTCTCAGTTCCGTATGTCATCACTGGCAACACGCACTGGGTGTACAGTCTCGTTTTCAAGGTTTGAGGTATACCTGACGAGAAGATGTGCCGTAATTTCCCGAACGCTGCCCAACCGAGTTGAATCCGTCGATTGATCTCTCGGTCGAAGTTGGACTTACCTAGTCGGACTATTTGTCCCAGGTATACATACTCGTCAAAAACTTCGAGCTTAGTGTTCCCAACAACTACCGGCATAGGTGTGACATGGACATTAAACATGATCTTAGTTTTGTCCATGTTCATCTTAAGACCTATCCGTTGGGAAACACTATTGAGGTCATTGAGCATAGTGCTTAGGTCCTCTAGCGATTCTGCCATAAGGACTATATCGTCAGCAAATCGAAGGTGAGTGATGTACTCGCCATTGATGTTGATACCGTATCCTTTCCAGTCCAGAAGCTTGAAAACGTCTTCCAATGCAGCGGTGAAGAGTTTCGGGGATATGACGTCACCCTGTCTTACACCTCTCTGCAATTGGATAGGTTTCGTACTTTGGTTCTGTACTCGGATAGTCATCGTAGCCCTACTGTACAAGCACTTCAACACTTCGATATACCGACAGTCAACTTGGCACCGCTGAAGGGACTGCAGCACCGCCCAAATTTCGACGGAATCAAAGGCTTTCTCATAATCCACATACACCAGACATAGTGGCAAATTGTACTCTTCGGACTTCTGTACAATTTGCCGAAGGGTATGTATGTGGTCTATGGCGCTAAAGCCCTTTCGGAAACCGGCTTGTTCGGGAGGCTGGAAGTCGTCAAGTCTGCGCGCGAGACGATTTGTAATGACTCTCGAAAACAGCACGTAGACGCGGCTCAGAAGGGAAATCGGTCTGTAGTTCTTCAAGAGAGCGTTGTCACCTTTCTTGAAGAACAAGACCACCGCACATCTGCTCCACGCCTCCGGTGTAATGCCACCATGGAGGACGGAATAAAAGAGCCTCTGAAGGACTTCAACTACCGGTTTTCCACCCGCTTTCAGAAGCTCCGCTGTAATTCCATCCTCGCCTGGGGCCTTACCGTTTTTAAGGTGCTGGAGAGCCATTCTAATCTCGCTCAGACTGACGTCCGGGATATCTTCGGAATAGTGTCGGATGAGACTCGCTCTTGGATCGTTACTCACACTTGCGTGTGGCTCCAACGATGACGTGTACAACTGCCCATTGAACCTCTCAATCTCACTCAAAATCTCAGGTGTCCCGGAAACGATGCTGCCACATTCTGTCTTCAGCTTTGACAGTTGGCTCTTTCTGGCAGACAGATCTCTGGCAAAGACTTTGGAGCCTTGGTTCCGCTCGATCGCTTCTTCAATACGAGCTGTATTGAAGTTGCGTAAGTCCCGCCGCATGCATTTGGAGATCTGTCTGTTCAGATGCCTGTAAGCTGTCAAGTCTGTTGAAGAATGTAGCTTCATCTCCAGTCTAACAGCCATGAGATTAAGAGTGTGATCGGAGAGTTTTTGTGTTCTTCTGCGGCGGGTCTTGCAGAACTTAGCTCCGACCGCATGGACAGTTTCCACGAGCTTGTCATTCATATCGTCCACTTCATTGCAGTCTTCTAGGCACTGAAAACGGTTTTGTAACTCGAGTTGAAAGGTTTCGGGACTTTGGATTAGAGCACGAGGGAGACGGAGCGTTGACTTCATTAGACGAGACCTCTCCAACTTAACGTTTAGGTTCAGTGTGCCTCTAACCATTCGGTGATCGCTACCAGTTTTCACCTTCGCGATCACGGAGACATCACTGAACAGTTGTCGTCTGGTCGTCATAATGAAGTCAATCTAATTTTTTGTCGAACCGTCGGGGCTCGACCAGGTCCACTTCCTGTGGTGCCTGGAAGAAAGAGTTCATCATAAAGAGTCCCTCTTTCTCCATGAAGTCGGCCAGCTGCTAGCCCCTTGGGTTCCGTTGCCCTATTCCAAATTTCCCTACTTTCAGCTCACCGTTCTCTCTTGTGCCTAGTTTTGCATTAAAGTCTCCCATTAACACCGTATATTGGGTTTTGGAGGAATGCATGGCTCTAGAGATATCCTCATACATTTCCTCCACCTCCTCATCGGGGTGTGCCGAGGTTGGTGCGTAAACCTGTATGACCTTCAGCGAAAACCGTTTGGTGATTCTGAGTATAAGGTACGCAACCCTCGTCGACACACTCCCGATCTTTACAACGTTGTTAACGAGAGACTTGTGGACGATAAATCCGACACCTCCTTGGGACAGATGGTCGCCCTCCCGGTGATAGAGCAAGTTGCCGGATTCGAGGATTACCGTGTCCTCCCCCTCTCTTCGGACTTCGGATAATCCTATAATATGCCAGCGCAACTTGTTCATCTCTTCTTCCAGCTCAACGATCTTCTCGTCAGTCCTCAGGGTGCGTGCGTTGTACGTTGCCAGGTCGAGTCGTCTAAGGTGGCAACCGAACCTCCACCGAAGATTCTTAGCACCCCCTGCACCGCTGTTACCATGGTCGCCACCGTAGCCAGGAATAGCGGGGCCGCCGGGGACTGGGGGCCGTTTCTTTGTTACTGTCATTCATAGGGGGGTATTTGCCAATACGGTAAGTACTTATAACTAAAATACAATTTTTAAAATTTTTGTTTGTCTGTCTGTCTGTCTGTTTGTTCCGCGTAATCTCCGAAACGGCTGGACCGATTTTGACGGGAATTTCACCGGCAGATAGCTGATTTCATAAGGAGTTACTTAGGCTACATTTATTTTAGAAAAGTGTTTAGGGTTCCGCACAAAAACATAAAAACCCTAACACGCGAGTGAAGTCGCGGGGAACAGCTAGTTTATATATATTTTCGATAAGGACTATTAATATTTAATCATTTAAAAGTAATATTTTGCATAGATTAGTATTTCAATTAAATTCACATTAATTGTAAAAACTAAAAATCATACCGTACCGATAATTTTCGCTAGAAGCTGCATAAGATGATAACAGTTTCTGGTTGAAGTTGAAAGGCTGCTAAACTGTCGCAATTAAAATTGTATATATAATACGCTTATATAGGTTGACTCGGGACACATTTTTCGTGTATTTTGTTCTAGGCCCGCCGTCCATTTAGTAGTAGGTCAATGATCATAAATAATAATTTATTTATTCTTTATTGTATTCCTTAATATAAAAGAATACAAAGGGCGGACTTTATGCCTTGAGGCATTCTCTACCAGTCAACCCATGGAGTGGTGAGAATTTGACGTAGGTGTAGCAATATAGAATAAAAACAAAATAAAAATTAAATAAATACATAAAGACATTAATTCTTAAGATTAAGATACTTTATTTTTCGTGCAATAAAGAATATCTATATAACTGTCTAACATCCTTGAACACACACAAACACACACAAACACACACACACACACACACACACACACACACACACACACACAAAAGGTGTGCGGACTGCGGACAAAGACAGTGCCGATGTAAGAGTAGATCATTCAAAATTGGCGGTTGTTTGAATGGAGTGTCAGGAAGATGACTACAGATTTATAATATAAAGTAATAAAAAGTACTCGATGTTACAAAAACATCGATGTTTCTAACCGATGCATCGAAATACATCGATGCACATTCTCGATGCATCCCATCGAAAAAAAACATCGATATATTTTCAAAATGGACACCTCTAATATCCGCGCATGCAGCACGCGCATGTGTCCAGACGTACAAATGACGCAGCCGTGTTGGCAATTTCGCCAACGAAATAATCAATAACATATCATACAAAGAACATGTTACAAAACCACACGACTCCTATCGAAATTAAATATTTCATTCAAAAACTCACCCTCTCGCCATCTCCAAGCTCTTGATCAGCTTCTTGATTTTCCAAATTTCGACATTGCGATCCGCTGATGACTCTTCAGACATTTTGAAACGGCTTAAATTAACTAATGCACCACACAATCACTAAAAAATACTAATAAATAATCGTTAAAGTTTGTAAAACACACCACTAAATTGTATTAATAAATTAATTAAGAGGGAAAGGGAGTCCCAACTCGCGGTTCAAACTGCTAAAATCCAGATCAAACCGGACGGACGAGACACCTCGCGACTTCGTTCACACACTTTCTAGTTTACATTTACGCCTATTAGCACACGTACTTATCTTCTGGTACAGGCGGGATTCTTCGATTTTTTTCTTATTCGGTTACCCCTAAGCATGTGTGATGCAAAAATAAGACATTTGAGTATAAATGATGACGTGAACACCAAGCGATCGAGCGAACGCCTCCACCCGTCGTCAATCAATAGATGAAATGAAAGAACAAGTAGTGATGGGTCAACTCGAGTTATTAACTCGAGTTGGTTCTCCCTAACTCGAGTTTGAACTGCTGTACATGGACGGGTCAAGTAAACCAGCAAAAGAGTAAAAGCGCGATTCGTTCGTTGTGTGCGGGCTTCGTGTTTTAAAGAGTATTTAGCTAAAAAAAACACCAATTTGTTAATTAGAATTATATAATAGCTAAGTAATGTATTTTTTCTTATAATTTTGATTAATTATGATCAATATAGTTATGTAACTCGCAGACCTATTATTGTAATACCCGAAAAGGGTGGTTAAGTTGTAAGATCATCATATTTTAAATTTACGCCAAATGTAACACTTAACTTACAATAAATATTATGAATTTGACATTGAATTTATTTAAGGATATTTTGAGTGTGATAATTAAACTATTAATAGCTTATGTACCTACATCTTAAAGCTAGACTAATATTGTATCGTGAAGACTGTTATATAGCTAGTTTTGTCGTTAAATACATACATGTACTTACTATTACTGTTAGTAAATGAGAACGCAACCATTTATATTTTTTTGTTGCATTCACTGCTAATTTAAATACATTATGTTGGCAACATCTTTTTTCTCTATTCTTATTCGCATAGATAACTCTTACTTCATGTATTGTACTGTACTGTGTAATTTCTCCATTGTTAATCAAAATACATTCTTGCATATTTCCGAGTTCTACAGTTATTTTAATGGTTTCATCCCGAAATATCAACATGGTAGCAGAGCGTGGTTGATAAAAATCATTGACAGTAAAAAAAAAAAAGAACGCAGAACAAAATCCGGCAGCGGTGTATTTGTGCTGTCACGTCATCGTCATACTTTTTGAGGTTACCGCATTACCTAACCTGGAGCGGCGTGCTCGCTCAGTCATCACATTGTTGAAAAATTGTTATTACATGTAGAAGATGTCCAGTGCAAGCCACAATCCTTTTCACATTGACAGACTCGTCGGAAGAAACAATTATGCGAGTTGGAAATTCGCAGTGGAAGCGTATTTCAAGCTTGAAGATTTGTGGAGTTGTGTCGAAGGAACTAATACTGATCCCAGGAAAGAAATAAAGGCAAAATCTTAGCTTATTTTACTGCTTGATCCGATTAATTACGTGCATGTACAGAGCGCAACTACATGCAAAGATGTCTGGGATAACTTACAGCAAGCTTTTGATGACAGCGGGTTATACAGAAAAGTTGCCCTGTTGAGAGACCTCATCACAACTACATTGGACAGTTCTCAAAATGTAGATGATTATGTGAATAAGATAATGTCAACAGCTCATAAGCTTAGGAATATCAAATTTGACATTGATGATGAATGGCTTGGAACACTGATGTTGGCTGGTTTACCCGAGGTATATAAACCAATGATAATGGGATTGGAGAGCTCAGGGATCAAGATCTGTGCAGACTCCATCAAAACTAAACTGCTGCAGGAAGTTCAATGCTCAGAAAGCACAGCATTCTTCAGTAGGAAGACAGCCGTTTACAAAAATCATAGTACAGGAAAGGCCTGTATTCAGAAAGGGCCTCGATGTTATAATTGTAACAAGCACGGACACTTTGCAAAGAACTGTCGTGCTCCGAAGAAGAAGAATATTGAAAAAGTAGAAGAAAATAAAAGTTTTGTTGCAGCATTTTCAGCATGTTCACAAACAATGAATCCGGACCTTTGGTATGTGGACTCAGGTGCCTCCATGCACATGACAAATAGATCTGACTGGATGTATGATGTAACAAGTCCACCGATACCCACCATAACTGTTGCCAGTAGGACACCACTACCTGTGGAAAATATGGGAAAGGTTAATTTATTGATAAATGGTAATGAACAAAGTAAAATTCAGGTCAGAGAAGTTCTATACATACCTAAACTTGCTGCCAATCTCTTATCAGTAAGTGATATGGTAAAAAGTGGCTGTAAGGTAAATTTTAGAGATAAAAGTTGTGATATTTATGACCAAAGTAATAAATTCCTCTGTTCAGCCACATTAGTAAACAACTTGTATCAGTTAAACACTCACAGAGAAGTCTTCTCTAACCTAACATACTCAAATAACTTAAATGATGTTGTCCTGTGGCATAGACGCATGGGACACCTGAATTTTTCAGATGTTAACAAGTTACCGGAGTGTGCAGAGGGAGTCGATCCATTCCCTGACCAAAGTAAAGGTCCATTCACGTGTACTACCTGCCTAGAAGGTAAACAAAGCAGATTGCCTTTCAACAACATTGGCTCTAGAGCTTCAAGACCACTGCAGCTTATCCATACTGATTTGTGTGGACCGATGGAGCAAACATCACTGGGAGGTATGAAGTATTTCATTACCTTTATAGATGATTTAACTCGAAAAGTTCATGTTTATTTTTTAAAAGACAAATTAAGTGTACTAGGAGTGTTCAAAGATTATAAAAGTAAAGTAGAAAATGAACTTGAAACTAAAATAAAAATTGCTCGGTCAGATAACGGCAAGGAGTACTGTAACAAAGAATTTGATAGTTTTTTGAGTAGGCATGGAATTGAACATCAAACAAGTACCCCGTACTCACCCCAACAGAATGGCCTAGCAGAAAGGATGAATAGGACGTTAGTAGAGAGAGCCAAGTGTATGCTATATGATGCTCATTTGTCAAAGCAATTTTGGGCAGAGGCGTTAGCAACAGCGGCCTATATAGTTAATAGATCACCCACTAGATCCCTCAATGGCAAAACTCCTATAGAGATGTGGTCAGGCAAGAAACCCAACTTATCAAATATAAAAATTTTTGGCTCTGAAGTGATGGCTCAAGTACCTAAAGAAAAACGCCAAAAATGGGATTCTAAATCTAAAAAATTTTTATTTGTAGGTTATTGTGATTCTAGTAAGGGATATCGGCTGCTTGATCCCGACACTAATAAAATTATCAAAAGTAGAGGTGTAGTATTTTTCGAAAATGTTCAAAGACTTGAGCAAAATGTGTACTTACCTTGCTTAACCAACAGTGATCCTGAAATACAGTTAACTGAAGAGCCCTGCAAAGAAGAATCACCAATCAGCTTAGAACAGTCTGCGAGTGATGAGTACCTGTCAGACGACAACTTTGATTCATCTTACTTACCAGAAGAATCATTTGACTTTTCGATACCAGCATGTAATATAAACTTACGTCCACGCAGAGCTGCCCAGTATGCAGAAAAGGATGTCCACGATGTAAGTTACTTTTGTCCAATTCTTAATTTATGCGATCCTCTTACTGTTGATGAAGCTTTTTCATCTCCACATTCTGATCAGTGGAAGAAGGCCATGAAGGAAGAATATGATTCCTTGGTTAAGAATAAAACATGGTCACTGGTAGATTTGCCATCAGGTAAGAGAGCCTTGCCATGCAAATGGGTGTTTAAAAGTAAGACAAATGAGAAAGGTGAGATTGTTCGTTTTAAAGCAAGATTAGTTATTAAGGGGTGTGCTCAACGAAAAGGAAATGACTACAATGAAGTCTATGCTCCAGTGGTAAGATACACCTCAGTTCGATTCTTGCTTGCTCTAGCTGCTAAATACGACCTAGAAATGATTCAGATGGATGCTATAAGCGCATTTCTTCAGGGTGACATAGACACTGAAATATATATGTCACAACCAGAATGCTATAAAGAGAGTGATCAGGTATGTCACCTACATAAATCAATCTACGGGCTCAAGCAGGCTAGTCGTCAGTGGAATGTTAAATTAAACAATGCTCTGCTAAAAATCGGATTGAAAAGATCAAAAATAGATCCATGCATTTATTATTCCGTAAATAAATCAAAAATGATTTTTATTGCAGTATGGGTAGATGACTTCATGATATTTACAAATGACAAGAAAACGGCAACAGGTATCAAAGTAAAACTTAAAGAAGAATTCAATATGAAAGATCTGGGTGAGATAAAGCAGTGTATTGGGATAAATATAAATAGAGATCGTAAGGCAGGTGGGATCATGTTGGACCAAGAGAAGTACATAAACCAAGTGTTAGAACGCTTTGGTATGTCTGCTTGCAAACCAGTTCACACTCCGATAGAGGTAAATATGAAATTTGATAAGAAACCTAAAAATGAAGATGGCAATTTCCCATACAGAGAAGCGGTGGGGTGTCTAATATATTTGGCACAAGTTACACGACCTGACATCACATATGCGGTGAACAAGTTGAGTCAGTACTGTAATGACCTAGGTATTCAACACTGGCTTGGAGTAAAAAGGGTTATGAGGTACCTTCAAGGAACCAAGAAACTAAAGTTATGTTATCTCAAAGATGACTCCAAGGAAATAACTGGGTATTGTGACGCAGATTGGGCTACTGATCCACAGGATAGAAGATCATGCACCGGTTACACTTTTATTTTTCAAAATGCTTCCATATCTTGGAATTCTTGTAAACAACAGACTGTGGCACTCTCGACAGCAGAGGCTGAATATATGGCGATGGCTTCGGCGACCCAGGAGGCGTTGTGGCTTCGGCAACTACAAGCTGAGATCGGGCAAGGCCTGGACAGTGCATTACTTATCTATAGTGATAATCAAAGTGCGATAAGGTTGGCATCAACTGACTGTTATAAAGCTAAGACTAAACATATAGATATAAGGTTGCATTTTCTCAGGGAAAACATTGTTAATTGTAAAGTTAAATTTTTATTTGTAAATGGTTGTAACATGGTAGCTGACAATTTGACAAAGGGTGTAACACTTGCCAAGCATTTATACTGTATTAGTAAGATGGGATTGCGTTTTAGAGGGAGTGTTAGTAAATGAGAACGCAACCATTTATATTTTTTTGTTGCATTCACTGCTAATTTAAATACATTATGTTGGCAACATCTTTTTTCTCTATTCTTATTCGCATAGATAACTCTTACTTCATGTATTGTACTGTACTGTGTAATTTCTCCATTGTTAATCAAAATACATTCTTGCATATTTCCGAGTTCTACAGTTATTTTAATGGTTTCATCCCGAAATATCAACAATTACTAAGATTAAAACCAAGAATACATAAGTATGTGATACATACTACTAAATATACCTTTTTATTTCCAACATAATCAGTTTGGTAATTATAGTTATACCAACCCACCAGAGCGAGATAGAAATACAAATTTATAAAAAAGTAATTTGTGACAATTTCTTTAGTCTGTTTCGTACTGCTAACTCGAGTTGCGTAACTCGAGTTTAAACTCGAGTTGCGAGAATTTCAACTCGAGTTAACTCGAGTTGTAATTTTTCCGAGTTGGCACATCTATAAGAAAAAGGAAAATCAATATGAAAATTTATTGCTATACTAAAAAAATTACAGTGTTTACAGGTTGTAGCAATCAAAGAGTATATAATAACTACGTTTAGTAGCAATATTGGTCTTGGGTAGTGTCTTTTCTGTTGTACGTAGTAAATAGTAATTATAAGTCAATAACGTCTTCAAAAATGACAACAATGAATCTGTGTGAAAAGGAACATGGATGGAATATGGATGAAATCTATGTAGTATAATTCTAGTCTTTCATAAGTGACAACAAAAGATTAAATAATTATTTTTGACATAATATGCACCCATATTGTTGTAGGGTTCACGACTTATATTATCAAGGTTCATGGACAGGAATATGATAGGCTTACTCGCCAAGGAAACTAAACATGGATAGTACATACATAATTACATATTTATGGCCTTCAAATTATTGTTCCAGGTCTGGATGTTTATCCATTTCCAATTAATGCATCTAAATATGAAAAAAGCCTCTAAGATACTGGAGAAATTCTAATGTAACGTTGTCATTAAAATTAAGCTTATAATAAAAAGTAAAGCTGACATCAAATAACTAAAAAGAATAAGATAAATTTCACATATTAGCTTTTTAGTTAGTGCTAAATGCTAATACATAATCATAAAAGAATTATGGTCCCAAAATATAAAAATATATAGTTGATATTGCCTTAAGTCATTTAAAGGAATGTGTTGTACATACTTCAATGAATTTAAAAGAAAATTTGTTGGGGTTTTCGATATTTTGAACATACATAACTTGGCTAGTATTAAAAGCCAATAAATTATATTTCACGTAAACATATGACATACAAGGATAAAATATAACTCTTTAGTTAATTTTGCTGGAGACTACCCCTCACGCTTCCGCCGACCACGTCACGCGTTCGCCTAGTTAGTACCGTTAGCAAAGTTGCCGTGCGCTCACGATAATACTCCTTATCATAGCAAGCACATACAAAAACGGCCGACTTCCTCATCATTTAAGGAACATATGCAGAATTGGTTACGTGATCATAATATCACCTATGATGAAAACATGACCAAAAACAATTATACCATCTAATAAAAATAACAATACCACCTAAGACACATTACGTTGACGAATTGTTAAAAAGACAAGATCATGAAGTGCTCTGGTTACTAAAGTATCACTGCGATTTAAACTCTATAGAGAATATATGGAATTTATTAAAACAGCGCGTCGCAGAAAAAAATGTATCCCAATCCGAAAGAGAAATATTAAACTTAACCCAAAATGCTATCAAAAGTATAACACCAAGTGATTGGAAAAAGGAAATACACCACGTGGATCACTTGCGTCAAAAGTATTGGGAACAAGATAGATTGGCAGAAATTTACGAAAGATAATTAATTAGGTCAAAGCAGCGATAGCGACTCCACTGGGCCAGAAACGGATACTGAAAGTGATACAGTTATTACGTCTGATTCTAATTCAATGGATTATGACTGACAAAACTAATTTAACTAGAGTTTAGTTAACTGTGGCGTAAGTCCACTTTAGATTTTGTTTCTATGAACAGATGTTGTTGATTTTCAATACTTGTAAATGAATATTTTTGAATAATTGTGTTGTTTTTATCTTTATTATTTAATCATCTTCATATTTCATATTTTGTCTTATTTTTCCTGATATTTAAAATTTACTTGTACAGAGAATATAGTCTCCCAACGTCCACTAAAGTGAGTCGGAGAGGGTAAAATGTCGTCATCGATATTGTTATGAGCTTGGGGTTCAAGACAATTAAAAACTGCCGAGTAAACACACAACAACACAAACACTCACGCCTGTCACCCAGAGGGGTAGACAGAGAGTACGGACTTCCATTAGGCACGATCCTGACACACCTCTCTCGCCTCCTTTACATCCATATATCTACGCATACACGCTCGTCGGTTAAGGGTACTCCTAATCTGGCCCATTTTCAATATATCGCCAATTTGGTCGATAAACCTTCGTCTAGGGCGTCCCTTCTTGACTCTGCCGTTCACTTCTGCAACATAAATTTGCTTTGTCACTCTTTTCTCGTTCATTCTTTCCACATGATCAAACAACCGAAGCAATCCTTTCTTAACCCTGGTCACAACGTCTTCTTGCAAACCACACTTTTCTCTTATCACATTATTTCTCACCATGTCTTGTATAGCCAATTCAATGCTGACTGGGTCGCGGTCTATACCTCATATAGACCTTATATAGGGCCTCAGTTAATTTCCAGAACCTTCTACGGTAGAAACATCTAGAATGTTCGAGTACATACCGGTCCCGACTGACTAAGTTTTTTTTTATAGAATTAGGGTGACAAACGAGCACACAGTTCACCTGATTGTAAGTGGTTAATGTGGCCCATAGACATCTACATCTATCTTCGTTTGCGAATTAAAATGCAGATTTGTTGTCAGCCATCAGCCAGGACTAAGATAGAATGCCTCTTTTCCAGTAAAATGGGTCTCCGGTTCTCTACACTCACCATACGAAACACAGCAGCATTGAGCTGTTATTTTACGCTGGTATTATGTGAGGGCGTGGTCCTTCCCTGGTCGAGCGGACCCATTCGTGCTACAACTATACTATTAATATAGCTGCAGCATGGCTCTACCACGTAAAAAATGTGTCGATAGTTCTAGAAAGTTTATCCATGGAAATTTCTAGAAGGATCTTGACTCTCCTAGTTCTGCTACTCGTTACTAGAAGGCACTAGTGGTAACTATCGTCGCCATGTACCATGCATTAATTGTGGCGCACAACAATATCTTCTTCACGTGACGGTCTCTCACTATTTAGTCTCAAAACATTTATCGTCTGGATTCCTTGACATGACATTTTCTAATTTTTGGTTCACAGATTAGGTTGAACCACAGAATAAATAATAGTTAAAAGAACAGAGGGCTCACTCTCTGATAGCAAACTTGAGAGTTTAAACTTAGTTACAACGTCGCTAATGTTCCTAATACTTTGCACGCCTCGGAAGTAACCTTCGTCAAATTAGCCTACAGTTTATTTCGTCGAAAAAAATATGTTTGTGGTGCGCGTATTAAATCAAAATGCACCTTACGTCCGCGTGCGAGTGTCTGTATCACTTAGCTCGTTACGCGCCTTTGTTAAGACCGCTTCTACTGTAGGGTTAGGTGTTATGAGAAAAAAAAATTCTTTGATATTAGTTGATATATATTGTAGAATACACCAAGGTATTATATGTATTTATTTATAATTATATAATATAATGTAAAAATAATAATATATAATATAATGTATTTATTTATTTGTAAAAAAAAAACATTACCCCCACACTAGGACTTTCTCCTGTATCGTGGAGGCAGTTGACAAACATAAATTGCACATGGACAAACATCTAGATCCGCAACAATTATTTGTAGGCCATACAAATACTTGTTCCGTACGGGATTCAAGCCCGCGGCCCCCGCATTGCAACTCATTGCTAAGCTGCTGCACCACAGAATCATCAATTTGCTGATAATAAAAACTTTATTGTTTAATGTGAGGAAGGTTAATATGCAACATCAAGGAAAATTAAGATTATAACAACGTGAATGTCTTTGAAACTCAGATAATTTATTACCTAGGTACCATTTTAACCGACTTCAAAAAAGGTGGAGGTACTCAATTCAACTGTTTTTTATGTGTGTTACCTCAGAACTTTTCCGAAACTATTTTAATGATTCTATTTTTATTTGAAAGCTGGTGCTTATAATTTATACATCTCATATAAATATATAATAAAATCAAGTATATAATAAAAATCAAGATCTGACAGTAGTTTTGGAGTTATCCTTAATAATGCATATTAGTATTGAAGTCGGTGGTATAATTTTTTTTGTTGTTTCTCTTCCTCTCTTTTTAAAAAACGTTGTGTGAATACCATTTATTTATTTAAAAAAAGATTCTCGGTCTTGTCACAAGGTTTTGTCAAACTTGTTTAGTCGTTGAGAAAATGGAATTGACTCAAGAAAATTCAAGAGCGATGATTTATTATGACTTCCGAAGTGGTTTAACACAAAAACAGTGTGTTGACCGGATGATTTCTGCATTTGGTGATGAAGCCCCATCCAAAACCACAATTTATCGCTGGTTTACTGAATTTCAACGTGGACGTGTCAAGCTCAGTGATGATCCCCGTCAAGGTCATCCAAAAACTGCAGTCACCCAAGAAAACGTTGATGCTGTGCGTAAGCTGATTGAGAAAGATCGACATGAGACATACCGCGAAATTCAGGCAACTTTAGACATTGGCATGAGTCAAATAAAAATAATCTTGCATGAACAATTAGGTGTAAAAAAGTTGTTTTTCCGATGGATACCGCATTCGCACTGTGAAGAGAAAAAAGCGGCTCGCGTTACTTGGTGCGTCAAAACTCTCGAAAGATTCCACGCAGGATCCTCAAATGCTGTATACAACATCGTATCAGGTGACAAATCCTGGATATACGCGTACGAACCCAAAACAAAAATCCAGTCACGAGTTTGGGTGTTCGAAAATGAGTTAAAGCCAACAAAAATTGTTCGGTCACGGAGTGTTGTAAAAAAAATGGTGGCCACGTTTGTATCCAAAACCGGCCATATTACGACTATTCCTCTTGAGGGACAAAGAACGGTTAATGCAGAATGGTATGCTAGCATTTGTTTGCCACAGGTCGTATCGGAACTCCGTAAAGAGAACTGCAACCGCCGCTTCATCCTCCATCACGACAATGCGAGTTCTCACACCGCACACAGAACAAAAGAGTTTTTAGAGCAAGAATACATAGAATTATTAGACCATCCGCCGTACAGCCCCGACCTAAGCCCTAATGATTTCTATACTTTCTTTAGGCCTGGTTGAACTCCAATTAATTGATATTTTTATTAGCTTCAGAATTACATCAACTAGTACTAGTAAGCGTAATTTGTTATTAAAATGATTATCAACTTTTATAATATGTAAGTTTTACTGCTATTAGGTATAAAGGTGCTTTTATATTTTTTTAGCCCTTGATGGACAAAAGACAAATGTACCATACAGCCTAGGTAGATCGATTTTTTTTTTCGAAATTTGTTAAATAAAATTAATGCTTTGGTACTACTAACTTTATGAGTCAGATAATCATATTACATTATTTTATGAATAAAATTGCTCCCAAAGTAGCAGCAGCTCCACCATTGAAAATTGAAAGAGCATTTGGACTTTTAAAATTTAAAATAATTTTATAATTCGATATCCAGACAGCTGAACCTACAAAGATTATCAAAGGTTAGATATTTTTTTTTTGAAATTGGATCATTTTTAGGAATCCGTACCTCAAAAAGAAAAAACGGAACCCTTATAGGATCACTTTGTTGTCCGTCTGACTGTCTGTCTGTCAAGACACTTTTTCTCAGGAACGCGTAGAGTTATCAATCTGAAATTCATATCAAATACTCAAGTCTACTGTTCCTTGAAGCTGTGAAAAAATCAAACTTCTAAGCCAACTCAATCAAAAAATACAGCCGTTTATGCCGCAAATTTTCGACATTCGCAAGGGAATCAAAACCTACAGGGTACTTCCCGTGAACTCAGAATATTGAAATTTGGTACGAAGCAACGTTTTATAGTACAGATAAAGGAAAAATTGCGAAAAGCAAAAATTTTTAGTTAAATCATATAATAAAAATATTTTTAATAATTTTAAAGTTATATTTTAAACTTATACCTACGGATTTGTTTGGAACCCTCGGTGCGCGAGTCCGACTCGCACTTGGCCGGTTTTTTAGCATATGATCCTTTGTAAACAGATCAAAGATATAATTGCATGAGAAATCCGTTGTATGATAATAGTTCAGTTGTTTTTGTGGTCTATGTTGCAAAGTGCAAATTACATAATTTGGACATGACAAAATTTAATTATACCACATAAGTAAAGAAACAATATACTAGATTGTACCCATAAGCTAATGAAATGCTAGATTGTACCGAACAGCGCAACCTTGAATTGAATTGTACCTACTCTTTGGAACTGTCAAAGACTCAAAGACTGTCAAATTATGTCGTATATCTTATCAAATTATCAATTTAGAGGTTATAGTCTCGGATTAGTGTAAAAGATTCATATTATGTTAGCCGTATATTTGTTTAGCACTTAAAGCTAAATATATAATGCAATATCCAGTAAATTATTTGTTAGGTCTTTAACGCATTAATGAGATATAGCAAAAGATAGCTGGAAGGACATTTATCGGAATGTCTTCTTCATTCAGATCAGTTTTGTTCAGAGATTTTAGTGTTAAAAGACTATGGAGTGCTTGGACGCGGGGTTACATCTTAAGTTCAGTTATGAGACGTTGCCGGCGGGAGCGCGCAGTGCGTGAAGTTTTGCAATGCTTCAAGCAGGCATTTCTCAGACCGCGAAGGACGTTGATAATGTCTGTCGCTGCGGCATATAATAGTCGAAGTGAGGAATCTTCAGACTGTGATGTTGGGATTACGGACGATGAGATGGAGGTATTATGAATTTCATTATTGAAGGTCACTAATGTTATTTTTAAATTGAGCATGTACTTAGTGAATTGAAGGGAATGAATTATATCTAAAGAAAAAATAAATTAATCAAACTATGCACCTAATTGATAATGCTGCTGTCTATCACTAGCTGAGGGATTTGGTTTTGACATGTTTAAATAAAACTAGTTTTTACAGATTTTATCGCATATATTAATTCATTTTATATTCCTGATGTTTTGAGCACTTTACAGCATCCACGGTCACAGGTGTGACAGGTGTTTGACGTCCCAATGTTAACCACAGCTACCTCCAGATTAAAGATAATAATTTTTGTTCCCATCTACACATAGAGTTATTGCCAAGGCAAAGTCAGAGCACATAGGCAGAATTGGCGAGAAACTAGTTCGCCTTCCTTCGGGAACCCGTGCATTCTGGCCTCTCGCCAAGGCTGTCCAAGGGAATTTCTGTAAGCCATCACTACCATCTCTGCACAGGGAGGACGACTCATTGGCCCAAGACGCAAAAGACAAAGCTGACCTTTTAGGCTCCCTTTTTGCGTCCAACTCGACTCTTGATGACGGGGGGAAAACACCGCCGACCATCCCGCGGTGTGAGTGCTCCATGCCGGATGTGCTGTTCTCACAGCGCTCGGTTCGCAAAGCACTTCTCTCCCTGGACATCCAGAAGTCGAGTGGGCCTGACGGTATCCCTCAATTGTGCTGAGGACGAGTGCTCCGGAGTTGGCACCGGTCCTAGCGCGTCTTTTCCGATACTCCTACTCCCAAGGCGTAGTCCCGAATTTATGGAAGACAGCTTTTGTCCACCCGATCCCTAAAAAAGGCGACCGCTCAGACCCGTCCAACTATAGGCCTATCGCGATCACCTCCTTGTTCTCCAAAATAATGGAATCTATTATTAACTGCCAGCTCATCCGGTACCTTGAGGATCACCAGCTGATTAGTGACCGCCAATACGGTATTCGTCGGGGTCGATCAGCTGGTGATCTTCTGGTCTACCTGACCCATAGATGGGCAGAGGCAGTAGAGTCCAAGGGGGAGGCGTTGGCCGTTAGTCTGGACATTGCGAAGGCCTTCGATCGGGTTTGGCACAAAGCGCTTCTTTCGAAGTTCCCTTCCTATGGGCTTCCCGAGAAATTGTGCAATTGGATCACCAGCTTCCTTGCAGATCGGAGCATCAAGGTCGTTGTAGACGGTGCTTGTTCTGACTACAAGCCTATTAACGCTGGTGTTCCACAAGCCTGTGTGCTAACACCAACGCTGTTTCTTCTGCATATCAATGATATGTTGCTAACTGGTAACATTCATTGCTATGCGGATGACAGCACTGGTGATGCTCTATACACCGGCCGTGCCAATATTTCTCGGGAAAACGTCACCGAGTACCGGAACAAACTTGTGTCTGAAGTCGAGTCTTTGCTGGAAAAAGTCTCGGATTGGGGGCGACTAAATCTAGTCCAGTTTAATCCTCAGAAGACACAAGTTTGCGCGTTTACCGCTAAAAAGAACCCCTTTGTCGTATCTCCTCAGTCTCAAGGCACTCCCCTTCTTGCCTCAGCCAGTATCGGTATCCTCGCAGTGAACATATCGAGTGACGTGCAGTTTCGTGGTCACTTGGAAGATAAGGCCAAATTGGCCTCTAAAAAGCTTGGCGTGCTCAGCAGAGCGGGACAGCATTTCATGCCGGCACACCGCCTGCATCTTTACAAGGCGCAGGTTCGGCCTCACATGGAATACTGTTCCCATCTCTGGGAAGGGGCTCCCCAGTGCCAGCCCCTTCCACTTGACCGCATCCAGCGCAGAGCGGCTCGAATCGTTGACGACCGAGCCCTTTCCGATCGGCTCGATTCATTGGCACTGCGAAGAGATGTTGCATCCCTTTGCATTTTCTTTCGCATCTACCATGGGGAGTGCTCTGAGGAATTGTTCGGATTAATCCCAGCCGCCAAATTTCACGAATGCACAGGCAGAACTCGCGATACCATCCACACCATCTGGATGATTGGCGGTCCACCACTGTGCGATTTAGAAGATGTTTTCTTCCTCACACGACTTTCTTGTGGAATCGATTACCATCAGCGATTTTCCAGACCGATACGACTTAGGGACCTTCAAGAAAAGAGCGTACTCCTTTTTAAAAGGCCGGCAACGAATCTGCAATTCCCTCCCTGGTGTTGCAGTTGTTCATGGGCGGCGGTAGTCACTTACCATCGGGTGAGCCGCATGCTCGTTTGCCCCTTTCCTATAAAAAAAAAAACATTATGAATTTATAGTATCTTAGAAGTCTTGTAGTTGTTTGTTTGTGTTGGGACAAACTAAATACCAATGAAATCTCGTGTTAAAGAACACATAGTTGATGTGAAGATTTAATGCTTCGAGGAGTCTGCAGTCTGTGCACACATACAGGATCTCCCCCAGCACTGCATTAGATTTAATAGATATATTTTCCTTCCAAGTAGGATCGCAAGGCTATTGAAATCAAAATACATCCAAATTTCAATAGAGAAGATGGCTGGATGCTACCTTTTGCTGGGGTTCTATAATAATGAATAAATATAAATCCAAACCCATTCTTACAACTGCAATATTTTAAGATACTGTAAGTTCATTCTGGATAAAACGGAACAAAAATTAACAATTTTAAACTGACTTTGGGACGGGGGACTTTGCTTTGAGGTTAAGTGAGAGATACAAGTGTCGTAGTTTTTTTCGCTTAAATTTATTATTACATTAAGTGCTGTTGAGTCACTATAGTATTTTTTTTTGTCTTGGTGGTGGTTTTAACATATGTAGATTAGTAAGTGTTTTTAATTGTGCCGTTTTTATGTGAATTTTAGTTATAGAAATATAATGGAGGACGAACCTCCCGATCCCGAAAAGGTTCACAATGACTCCTTTACTTTACCCGTTGATAATGTAGAATCTATTAATCGTAAACGCGCCCAAATAAGCAATGAGTCTGCCCATCCACAAAAAATAGTTATTACTGATCCCAACCAACAGTTTCCTTCAATACAATCCTCATATATCCATCCTGATTTTATTAATAAGAAAGTAAAGTACTCTCAAGATGATACCGCGCCTTTTCTAGTTCACGTAAGTAAAACGTCAAAATGATCAAGTGTCCGGAGTAACTCTCAAACCAATTAAATTTGGTCACATTCTGTATCATAATAACATTAAAAATATAGTTTGTGACGGCGTCAAAAAAGTTGGACGAAACAGGATATCAGTTGAGTTTAAAACAGCAGCGGATGCAAACACTTTTATTGATCACCCAGCTCTTCAGACTTCTAAATATGAAACAAGTATCCCTTCATATAATATCACTCGTATGGGGCTAGTCAGACAAGTTCCTATAGAGTGGACATTACAATAATTAATAGCAGCTATAGAAATTCCCTCTGGATATGGTACTATAATTAACGCTCGCCGACTCAATAGTCGATCAGTGAGTGCCAGCAATAACGTTTCATGGATTCCAACTCAAACTGTAGTTCTAACTTTTTCTGGACAAAAACTTCCACCACATATTTACTGTTTTTACACCTCTATGCCAGTAGAAAAATATGTTCTGCCACTCATTCAGTGTCATAAATGTTGCAGATTTGCTCATGTTACTTCTCAGTGCCTATCATCCCCTCGCTGCTTTATATGTGCACAGAATCATGAAGGTTTATCATGTACTAGGCAAACTCCTACTTGTCTATTCTGCTCAGGACCCCACACAGCAAAAGACCCTACCTGCCCTGAACATCTAAGGCAAAAATCTATAAAACTAGTTATGTCACAAGAAAATTTATTATATTTAGAAGCTTCCACTAGATTCCCTCTGGTACGAACATCCTTTGCTGATGCAACAAGAAGTCCGCCTCGTAATTCTTCTCATCAGACCCCTTATCCCATAAATGACAGTATTTCAGCTCCTTCGGCTCAGCCTTCACAATGTACATCATATAAAAAACAATCTTTATTCCTCAACGTACTTACAGACAATCATCAAATTCTGGATATGATAAGTCAGCCCATCAGGCAATTGTTGAGAATCCTCCTTCTTCCCTTCCAAATGGGTGTGCTTTACTGGGGAATGACAACATCTCTAATAATGATAACTTCTGCGAACTTATGGTATCAATGTTAATTAACATGATTTCCCGTTTCAGTGACGCAGAACTTCCCCTCAGTTTACGTCATAAACTTACTCAGCTTACTTCAATAACTAGCAACATTCACAATTCTAAAATAGAATTGTCGGAGCATTAAACATAAAAAGAATGAACTTATCTTTCTTATAAACAAATTTAGACCATCTGTTCTTGCCATTCAGGAGATGTGGCTTAGACCTGACTCCCAATTTAGGATCTCAGGTTATTCATGTCTTCGGGATGATAGGAGCGATGGACATGCTGGTTCCTCTATTCTGATCTCAAAAAAAATTACATATTCTTCTATACCTCTTCCTTCCCACAGCTCCTCGATTAATGCTGTTGCAGTCAAGGCTCTCAACATATCTTTTCTGTCTGTATACATTCCTGATCCTAATGTTACCATCTTAAATGTACTTTTTAATCTTATTTCTTGTCTAACTCCCCCTGTTGTTATCATGGGAGATTTTAATATTCACCATACTTCATGGGGCTCACATCACTGCGATTCTCTATCATCTACGTTTCTAGATATGATAGATGACTTAAATCTTTGCATCCTTAATGATGGTTCTCCTACCCGCCGTGTTTCACCTTCTCAGAATGTAAGAAGTGTAGTGGACTTGACTCTTTGTTCTCCTGGCTTAGTTTCCATTCTATCATGGAAAACATTACCAAATTCACATGGTAGTGATCACTATCCAATTTTTATCACATCTGCTGACTCTACAAGAGCAAATTCTGAATTCAATCCGAGGTTAAAATATAATTTATCAAAGGCAGACTGGCATTATTATATGAATTTGATGCCCCCTTTTCTTACGAGGAATTATTTACA